AAAATGCAAATAAGGAGTGGTGGAAGTGGTTGAATAAAAAATTTCCAAGGAACTGATTTTCCAACCCATAAAATATCCTGGATAGCGAGCGATATGACCATTCTTTCTCAATTGAGAAGGTTCGATTAAAATCAATATTTCTGATAAATATTGAGATAATTGCACCCATATTAAATCTTGGCAATCAAATTCTTTAAATCGAATTAAAATACCATTAACAGGAAGCAAAAAAATTAGTTTCACATTTAATGTAATTTTTCTACTTCTATAGCTCAAACATTTTTTTTTATCAATAAATTTTTTTCATAGTTATTTCTTTGTAATATGGTAGACAATAAGTATTGCATTGTAGCTGTTCAAACATTTTTATAAATTTTGAAGTATAAAATTGTTCTTGTAAATAAACAATCTAGTAATGTTTAATATGTTTTGTTGTCAATTCCTGAGAATTAAGAAATAAATATATAAACCCAGTTTCATGTTTGGGTTTTATTAAAATTCTAAAAATAACTTTTTTAAAACAAATATTGCTAAGGATCATTTGGTAATCAAGAAAAAAAAATGTTTTGAAAAAATTTTTTTTTCTTCTTACAGAAACATTTGTTAAACTTTGCCAAATTTTTAATAGAGTTCTTATGGTGTACGTTTTTTCTTAATTCTCACGTGAAAAATGGCAGTGAATATTTTGTTAGAGTGTGAGAGCCACATGTGAACAAAGTGATAAATATACAAAGCTACACCTAATCTGATAAATGTATACCAGGCACATGCATCACAGCCAAATGTGCTCAATATTATAATGGGTTTTGATAATAGCAGTGCATAACCATGCAGGTAGGACCTAGTTAGAAATACATTCAAGTCAGGTAACCCAGCCTGCTACTAAGTATTTAGACATGACTCCCAAGTCATTTTGGCTGTTCCATCCTTCAAAACAACTCTCTCAACACCTGGTTATAATGTTTCTGCTTTACTCCTGCTCATGAACAGAGTTTTTTTTTTTTTTACTAATCTGCTTGTTTATAATCTGAAGCAACCATTGGCTGGTTACCTTGAATTGTGCACTAATTTTGACTTAAAAGTTGGCATGATTGTACAGAGTGCAGCAGTAATGGTGTCTTCATCAAGCTAAGGTCTTACCATTATGTGGGAGGTATTTCTGCTGCACATATTTCTGTATAAATATTTATTTTTTTATGAGTAAAGTCTTGAGTTGCTTCATACCCTAATAGATTTCTCTTTCAAATGATAGATTTGTGGCTACAATTGAAATATAAATTTCAATGAAGACATTGAGATAAAGCATATTATTTCTTTTTCTTCTTAAACTTTCCTGGGAGACTAATTCAGAGAGTATGCTGAGAAGACTAAAACATTCTAAAGGTTTTCTTATCCCAATACTAACAGTCAAATCTATTAAAATTTGTTTTTTCAAGTCCTCACCATAATTCTCTCTCTCCCTTCCAACCAACAGTCTGAACAAGCAAAGTTTAGAAGTGGGGGGGGGGATTGGTCCCCTGAGAGGAAAAAAAGAAACTAATTACTTTTTTTTTTTTTTTTTTTTAGAAGTGAGGAGAATAGATGAAAATAACTTATCCTTTTATCAGAACGAGTTACTGTATTTGATCACATAAGATTTCTGCCACGACTTATTCACATTTAACATCACAGTTTTATGAAAATAGGGAAGTTATAAGTACTAGGGATCTACATTGTCTAGATAAACAGGAACTTATCAGGTACCAATTTACAAGTCTCAGGAAATATTTTTTTTTCATTGTGAGGGAGGGGAATTTATATTGCCCTCAAATACAGTACAAAGCAGTCACACACAAATGAATATCTGAATTTTAATGTTAAAAAAATAAAAAATAAATAAAAATGGCCTTAACATGATTAAATATTTATGAATTCCTTCACTACCTGCATTCTTTACATTTTGATTAGTGTGTTCTTACAAGGGATGCATAACAGGAATTAAACGTTCATGCCTTACATACCTGTAGGTCACTTCTGGACAAGATATAGTATCAACTACTGCTCTTTCAGGATAAAAATAGCAGAATTACAAAAAAAAAAAAAAAAAAAAAAAAAATAGTTTTTACATAGATTACATAATGTCCATAATATCAATATTTATGTACAAAAATTACATTCAAAAGTTTACAACCTATATACAAGTTTCTTTCATATATGCCAATTTTCTTATATATATATATATATATATATATATATATATATATATATATATATATATATATATATATATATATATATAGGGAAAATAAAACACATTTATAAATCTAACATGTTTCACTTATTAAAGCTTCATCAGGGAATGAAATATAGAGGAGAAAAACAAAAATTCTGCTATTTTATTTGATCCCAATTTTATATATATGTATGTGTATACAGATATATATATATATATATATATATATATATATATATATACACACACACATGAGAATGATATATATTTTTATATATCAAGAACAATATTATGGGACAAATGTATGACAAAGTGGAAAAGTTTTGTGACATTTCATTTTTTAGGACTTGATTGGACTAAATTTGTTGGTGCAAACAAAATTCCCAGCATCCCTCAGTCATGTGCATGTGTAATTGCACCAACATAATGAATTTAGTCCAATCAAGTCCTGAAGGATGAAATGCATCATAAGAAAACTCTTTCAACTTTGTTTTATATATATATATATATATATATATATATATATATATATATATCTATATCTTGCCTATGACAATCTAAGATTAATAATAAATAATAGTCACAATAAGATGCTATTACCAAATTGATAACCCCTCCACTCTCCAATAAAACTCTCCTAACCAATATATTTGGGGGGGGGGGTTATGGAAGAACTGATTTGACTAAGAATTAGCTTTGTTGCCTGAACAGACTATCAAAAAGACTGCATCAAGGATACAGACTTTGAGGAGAGGTGAACAGTACTATTCCAAATGAAAAGAAGTTTAATCTACAGAGATAACGATCCCAAAAATTGGGGGTGGGAAGGTGAAATTATAGCAAGAATTCTAAATAGAAATCAATGATTAAAGAGAATTTTCTTTTTGCCTTAGATTAAAAACTCAATTTCCAATGTGGAAAGTGAGCTGGTTGTCTAGAATGGCAGAGAGCTAAAACGAAAATGGTTATGGCAAGAATGTGGCCAAAATTCATCAGCGAACGTTCCCTGCCCCAAATTATCTAAAGTCTAAAAGTTCTGGTAACACTAAAAATTTATTGAAATTTAAAGACTACAAGAAATTCAGATATGGGGTAGGACATTAAATAGAAATCAAGAATTGAAAACTGATTTTTTTTAATTTTTTTTTTTTGCTTTGGGAGACGAAAAATGCAGTTTATGCAAGGAAGTGTTACAAGGCAGTTGGGGGAAAAATTGGATTTTTAAAGAAACTGAAAATGAGGTAAAAATGTTTTTTTCTTTTAAATTTAAAAGAAAAGAAAAAAATGTTAATGAAAATTAGGATTTTTTTTTTCCATAATATGAAAATTAAAAAAACAAAAAAAACTTTTCAAGACAAAAACATTAGAAAATTGAAAACAAAATTTTGGGACATTTACAAAAAAAAAAAAAAAAAAAAAAAAAAAAAATCAAACTGAAAATCAAAACCAAAAGTAGGAAAGGAAAAATTTTGAGTGAAATTATAAAAAATTAAAAAAAAACAAAAAAAAAAAAACAGCTCTTTCAAAATCAAAATTATGTTAAAGGAAAAAAAATTCTTTGGTACAATTTTTTTTTTTTAAAACAATTGTTGTTCCTTCATTGGCAAAATATGTGATATTTGAATGTCTGAAGGAAAAACTTGTCAGTCTTATGTTGACAATGATGGTATTGTCACTTGTTCTGTGTCAAAAATAAAATAAAAATTCTGAAAGGCCCTTCAAATGTCACTTCATTTTTTTTTTTTTGTTTTTAATATTTTTGTTACTGTCTGATACTGTAATATTAACAGCACAAACAAAAAAAAAAAAATCCAGAACTTTCTAGCATGACAACAATTTCATTCCTTTGAGGAAATGAAAAATCTTTATAAAGATATTCAAAAATAGGAATAAAGCAAAAAAAATTAAATAAATAAAAGAAACAGATTTGATTTTGATTTTTTCATACTTATTTGTTACAAAGGAGCAGTGTGTGTGTGTGTGTGTGTGTGTGTATATATATATATATATATATATATATATATATATATATATATATATATATATATATATATATATATATATACATACTTACCCCCCAAAAAAAAAACATCATTGACAGAGATGTTCAAAGTTAAGCATAATATTATGAGACAAAATCCCACACTTTGATGCAGTGGAGAAATTTTACAATCATTGAGGTAAAAAACATGTTTAACCTTTACACATTGGAGATCATCATTCCAAACTGAGAAATAATTGTAATAACAGACATTAAAAAAAAAAAAAAAAAAAACCTACAGAACGTTTTAAGAAGTTACTGCATTTCTTCTTTTCAAAGGCAGCTCTGGTTGTATCGAAACAAAAGCAAGTGAAGACATGGCAAAACTTAATTTTTGCCTCTAAGGTTGTTCAAATTGGAAAGAAAACATTTTTTTCTTAAAACCGTTTCAGCTCAGATCTTTCAAATTTCCTTCCAGTCTTCTAACGAAATGCTCAAGTTAGTAATGATCATCTCAATAGTTTAAAGTCATCCAATTCTATCGAAAGAATCTTGCCACTAAAACTCATTTTGATTAAGAGTTACAAATTTTTTGGTGATTCGTAAACTAATGTTAAAACTGTTCGGCATTATGCAGAACATATCATTTATCCTGTATTATTAGATATAAAAACAAACTTAAACTGAATTTATTTTCTAAAGGTCAACTTTGAACCAACCCTGTAGGAACACATCTTTTTGAGACAGAAAGAGAGAGAGTGTGTGTGTGTGTGTGTGAGAGAAGAGATGCAGATGACAGCTGTACACTTATTGTCGATTATTATTGCGGGTGGGAGCAACTGCACCGGTGTTCTGGTCATCCGTGGCACTCATCTGGTTGAGAAGGCGTCGAATCTGAAAGGTCACCTCGTTCAGCTGACGTCCCAACTCACGCACCTCAACCAAGTGTTGCAGCCTCTGCCGTTCCTGGAAGCGAGCCAACTCCCGACGTGTGATCTCCATTTGCTCAAGACGCACCCGGGTCTCACGCATGCGAGCTCGCAGACGCTCATATTCCTTTGGCCCTGTTCGACGGTTTGAGCTGCGGCAATAGTTTGCTCCCGGCTGACTGGGTGTCAAATTGGTAGCAATGTCCTCGGAGACAGTGTTCTGAATATTTGACTGTCGAACAGGAAACACAGCAGTTGCATTGTTGTTGTTAGTGTTGTTGTTGTTGCTGTTAGAGCTGGTCGTAGCTGAAGCAGTTGTACTATTGTTGTAGGTAGCTGTGTATGAAATAGGAACCTGAGGAGATAGTCTGAGAGTTGGGGTGGGTGTTGGAGAATGGGGTCTTGTAGTATGACACCTAACTTCATGCGCTACCTCAGCAGAAGCAGCCATGTTAGTGGCAGCAGCTGTAAGAGTAGATCTGTTAGTCAGTGGGTTGCTCCTGGGAGGCACATCAACAGATGATGATGCAGAATGAAGCATCTGCAAGAAAGTAGCATGGGATGGTGAAGAGGGTGTTTCTTCTTGTTCTCGTCCAGAGGAACAAACGGCAGTTGGCACAGTCAATCCAGTGATGGATGAAGCCAAGTTTCCCTTATCCCCATTGGTTACAATCCTGGGTAGAACAGGTGAGGATGAAGGTGAAAGGTTTCTGTTCCCTGCTTCGCTAACACATGTGTCACTTTCACTGCTGTCATCGCTGCTGTCCGAGTTCTTACGATAGATTCGAGTATGGCTCTCCTCAGCAATCTTCTTGCTGAGAATGTGCCGATGATACTGCATATCTCTTAGCTGTCCTGTCCACACACATGAGCGGAGAAGGCAATGTACTGTCTTTGCATTGAGAGCATCAGCCACTTTCCCACTTGGTAGGTAATAGCCTTTAACTCGACATACAGGACATTTGTTGTGATTTTCAGAGTCACCGCTTCCAGCCCAGACAGTTACACATGAGCGACAGAACTGGTGTTTGTTGAGACAATGGCATGGATTCTTGGTAATCAGGAAGCTATGAGGAGAGAAAAAAATAGGTTCATTGAATACAAGAGAAAAAACAAATATATTGAAAAAAAAAGGTATTCATCAAAGATTTGTGATAAAATCAGAGTCAATAGAATGGAAAATAAAAACAAAAAAACTGCTTTCATGAACAAAGGCCAGTGGCTGCTCTAAACACAGCTGTATTAACCCTATCAGCTCTTAAGAGATTTCATTTATTAAATCCCTGACCGAATTGTTGAAAAATCTGAATATGTGATGTTAGTGCAATTAAACTGACACATCTCAAAAGCTGTTGGCAATCAAGCATTAAAAGATAATTTTATATCAAAGTAAATGGATTTCTCTTTCAAATGAGACCAAAACTAGCCTCCATGTTATTACTGGTTATGGGTGATGGTTTTGGACACAACAAAACAAAAAAACAAAACAAAAAACAAACCAAAACACAAACAAAACAAAAAAAAATCAAATCAAAAAAAAAAAATCAAATCAAAAAAACAAAACAAATAAAAAAAACAAAAAAAAAAAAAAAAACAAAAAAAAAAAAAAAATAAAAAAAAAACAAAAAAAATAAAAAAAAAATAAAATAAATCAAAACAAAAAAAAACATTGTGTATTAAAAGCAATTCTGTTACTTCCAAGAAATTCAATTTATTGGCCTAATCAGAAACATTCAGGTATCAGCAGACAGTATTCAAATTCAGATAAATGTCCAAATTTGGAATGCAGGTGTGTGTTATCCACAATTGTGAAACTAATACAACAATCTTCCTTGTTCCATAAGAAATGATTAAGTTGAGGATTAAGTCTGAAACCACTTCAAGAACAGTTTACTGGGGGCAGAATAGTAAGACCCTCATTTACTATGCCCCCAAGTCCCCAAAACAATGCTTTGATCCACCAGACTATTGTCTGGTAGGACAATCCTGAACCATGAACTTTGAGCTTTAAACACATTCTTATTGCTTGCCTGTTACTACTGTAATGTTTTACCTCCTTTGTTTCCACATTTTCCCTACTGTTACAACCTTCTTGTTTTTCTTTCTTTCATTATTAATAATAGCTTCTTTTTGGTATTTATTTCTATGCTAGGCTTACTTAGGCAGCCAGCATAGCATATCATAGTCATTTTAGTGTTTTTCTGTCTAGTATTTTTACTTTATAGAGGGCAGAATGACTGAAACATTGTGACAGTAACAAGGACATTTATGTGTAAATAATATAACTTCTCATCCAAGAAATTCAAACAGAAATTGTAATTCTTGTATAGTGTTTTTTTTTTCTCTCAGAATAAAAATGATAAATACAGAAAGTCTTGTTTAAAATGGTTTTATTTTCATACAAATCAATCAATATGCAAACTAAAATATTTAATCTATCATGGCAAATTATTTCAATCATCTGCGTTAGTATAAAATATAACACATATAAGACCACGTACATCTAAGCCAGATCTACATCTAAGAACATCTTACATTCAGTAGACTTATCTCATTATAAAGTGAGAAGTATCTTTTACAAAACTGCAAGGACTTTGGTAAGCCTTTTACCCTCTTTCCAAAAAAGGAACATCAACTTAGAAGTTATGTTGTCGATTGAACCAGATGGATAATTAAATTCTCCTTTCCATTGCAGTGAACAGATTAAGGGAGATGTGGTAGTAAAGAAAATGACAACATTAAAATCAACACTTTTAAAGTGGGGGGGAAGGGGTTGGAATACACAAAGGATTACAAACACACACAGTAGGTAGGTAGGTTTGGTTAGATTTGTTTTACAGCATATCAACCAGTTATATTCTATACCTATGAACACTAATGGCTATGTCCCAATCTTTATAAATATGTTGGACACTATTGCAAGTGCGGGTAAAATGCTGTCTAAGTAGTGCACCACTAGCAGTGGTTTACCTACTTCACACCACTGGCGAGTATTGTATTTTGTTATTATAAAGATTACCATTTCATTTCTAACCTCTAAAAAACTATTTTTACACTTTCATAGTGTTTTGACTACAGTTTGGTGGGTTAAAAATTTTCCCATAGCTGGGACCCTAACAGGTACTACCACCCTGGGTCAGGATGGACCTGGGAACAACAGCAATTCAGAGGTGGTACCACACTCCTCAAAAACCTAACAGAGGTCTTGGTGATGGATGTAGTTTATCACCATACCTGATAGGTAGGTAGGTATAAACAAGTACAAAGATTTTTTTTGTTTTTGTTAATTATTTATCTGAATTTCAGCAAAAGTTTTTTTTTAGCTCAAACAAACAGCTTAAAATGATAAAACAAAAAAACAAAAACAAAAAAGTGCCATGAAAGAGTGAGACAGAACCAGAATGACTGATTACATTAAAGATTTGGATTAAATTGCTAATCAGCAACTGACAGTAAAGTAGTTGATATTTATATAAGACAATAATAAACAATAATCCTAAAAGGAGGAAGATTCACAAGGAGTTGATCAAACACTCTCGGTGTGCGTACGTGATTTGGTGCAGGTTTTAACGCAGAGAATGGCTGATGCATGCATTTAGTAGAGCCACCAGTCAGCCTTTTAGAGACACCCACCGACATTGCCAAATGTCTAATAAAAGTGTTGGTCAACCCCACGTCATAAGGTCTAGACTGAAAGTTAGCTGTGAAATGTCAGGACACATGGGGCGGGGGTTGGTTGGTTAGTAGGGGTCCTGTAAAAAGAGCTGAAGGGCTACGGGTTAGCCCATCACATCTAAAAGCTGTCTGAATAAAGAAAACAAAAAAAACAAAACAAAAAAAACAAAAAAAAAAAGGAAATCTGTCAGTGGAAAGGAAATCTGCCAACTTCCCATGTTAAAAAGAAATAGAAATTTTTTTTTTTTGTTTTTCATTTGATTGGCAACAGGTTTAATTTAATAAAGAAATGAAACATAATTAACAAGATAAAATTAACTCATCTCAGTTTGTTTTTAGAGTTGAAACCAGGACCAAGACGAATAGGCAAAGATGGAGTAAGGCCAATGTGAAACAATATTGTTAGTACACATTTTTATTTCTGGTTATATTTTTTTTTTTTTTTTTGCTTTTTATCAAAACTTTCAGTCCTATAGTAATTCTGAATTTGAACTCATATCTTGAAAGTGTCTTTAAAGAATAATGTGCTAACCCAAAGTCAGTTGGGCAATGTGAGCATCACAGTGATTTCATGTTTAAAATTTTAGAACTGACATTCATAATGCCCCACTTGGTTTTGTTTATTCTTTGTCAAATGTTCAGTTTGGACTTTTACAAAAAAGGAAAAAAATACATTTTTTTACCAATAATAATAATAGAAAAAATGTACGAGAAAAAAAGAAAAAAAATGATGTACGAGAAAAAAAAAACATACGAGAAAAAAAAAACATACGAGAAAAAAAAAAAAAAAAAAAACATACGAGAAAAAAAAAAAAACATACGAGAAAAAAAGAAAAAACATACGAGAAAAAAAGAAAAAGTACGAGAAAAAGAAAATGACTGAGTATAAGAAAACTTGACACATGCGTTTACAAAGCAATTTTTAATTAGTGAAAACTGCCAAATAAGATAATGGAACTTGATGCTTTGCAAACAAATTCACAATTGAAAATTAAATTTATTAAGCTTCCATCAATCCCAAATTACGATCATAATCCTACAAACATTTAAGATAAGGAAATTGGCTCAGAATTAAATCTGCCATTTTGGAACAACATAAAAATGTGAACAAATTTTTTTCATCTATGGAACCAATTAAAAATGAGACTGCAACTGACTGATGAAAATATAAAGAATTCTCTTCTGCTCTCACTAACACCAAAAATGTTTGAGAAAAATCAAAACAGACTTAGTAAAAGAAATATTTTGTTTTTATATTAAAATCAAATAATGTAAACAAGCCAAATATATTTGTTAATACTTTGCAAGAATTAAAGATTTGTACTTGGGCATTTGTACTCGGGCATAGAAAAATTGTAGTATGAATTGTGAAAGGATAGCCAGTCATGCTCTTGCAAAAGCTGTCATCTCTAATGAAAATAACCTTTTCTTACCAACTACAATCAGTTGCAGTAATAAAACTCACTGATTGTTTTGAAGTATTTTGTCAGTTACTAATTTGTTTTCTTTTTTTACTGCTTTCCATCTTCATTACTGAGGGTCAGGGACCACAAACAATTGTTAAGGTCTTGAATTCAGAGTTACCCTTCTACTAGACTGGTTGCCAACTATGGCTAGAGAACCCAGTCTGTTCTGCAATTTAACCCATAGTTAGGGGAGAAGAGATTTATATCTTTCTCAAGAGTATTTGCGCATAGGTGTAACCAACTGGAATTTAAACCAGAGTTTACATTATTTACACTGTTTTGACTGTTGTCCTTATCTTTATTTCCATATTAATGTTTCAGCCATTGCATGCTCCAGACTTTTTCAAGTGATTGGAATTTTGAACTGAACATTTTATTTCATCCATTGGGATAGATTGTCCTAGTTCCACGTGTTATGCTTCTTCTGGATGTCCAAGTTATCTCCCTTTAATTAAACTCCAAATTTTTGTTCAGGTATTGAACCCACAACTCTGGGTCAAGTCACTGGATCCAACCAACACTTATCCATTGGACAAGGTGTTCTTGAGGACATCAGTGTATGAATTTTTGGGACTTAATGTCTCAGTAATCATTTTTTACTGGAGCTCATATTGCAATTTTGTTATTATTGCTTTTCTCTAGCACTCTGTATTAATGGTTCCCATATTGTATTCATTTCTATGATTAGTTGGCTCATATG